GTAGGCACCTGATGTCTTCACCTGTTTCCTACCATCTGTACATACATTAGCTTGCTAGCTCTTCCCAACGACACACTAGGCATTGTTTATAGAGACGTAGGAAAACAACAAAACAACCAAACTGTCCTCATATTCACCCCCTTCTTTGCAAAAATCCCTTCCAAACCAACTGCTCACATGCGCCAAACACAAAGTAATAAAAGAGTGACTTATACCCAAACCTGGCCAGTCCTTCCGTTTCTGGATACTTGCACACAGACAGAAGAGACCCACTCAGCCTTGAAAAGGTCGATCATTTTGCTGTCTACAGCTTCATCTCTGAGAGCGCCGGCTTCCTCTGTCCCTGTCTGCGCTGGCTGACTGCTCTCTCACACTCCCCCTGTGTGTCTCTCTACTTGTACGGGAGAGGAGAGGGTTCCGTCCCCTTTCTTGTTTCTGCTGCTGGATGAAGGATGAATGCTAAACACACGATTCGAAGGGATTTTCTCCCCCCCCCCCCCCACCTTCTTAGTCGAACTGTTGGAAATCTGAAAGTCTCTTTCCCTTCTGAATGGCTTAATACCACCACTCACTCAGCGCAGAACATTTATATAAAGAGGCATAAACACAACCAAGAATTCTACTAAAAAAAAAAAAAAAAAAAAAAAAAAAAAAAAAAAAAAAGAAAGAAAGAGAAAGGAAAACAACCCTCCTCCCAGCCTATTCTGTTAACTATTAGCACTTACCCTGAGATGTGCCATAAATGCTCTATTCCAAACGTACAAAAGCCAGCCACATCTCAACTGAGAATTAAACAGTTTTAATGTCTTCAAATCCATGCTCCTGCTCCAAGCTCTAATACAGGCAGTCACTGGCAGCGGTACAATAGTTCTCAACAGCAGACATCTGATTCTTGACATTTAAAAATAACAATATTGGGAAAAAGGGGAGGCTTTTTTTTTAATTAACTAAAACAGCTTGTGAGTGAGCACACAGCACCCATTGAGAGTACTGATTGAAATGTACAGCCACTACAAGGGAATCCTTGATAGCCACAGGCTAGACACAGACCCCTTACCTCTTGCAGTCCTGGCAAGGAGCTGCTCTAGGTTCCTGCCGAGTGAAACTCTCCAAAGACCCTAGAAGGCATTTTAATATTTAAGTTCTATTGTTTACTGAATGCTTATTAACATTAATTTGTGAATTGATTAATTAATGTCAATTAGCGGATACTAATTTAGTTTTGAATCAAATTAGGGATTGTGTTTTTCTTTCCACGAGCAGCCTAATTTCACATTGACATTCTTTCTACTGGATGGGCACATTGCAGGTTGAATGCACACATGAATTTGATTCAGACTGACACTAAATAATAAAATAAAAAACACATTTACTGCAAAGCCACAGGGAAACCTTGTCTCGAAAAACCAAACCAAAACCAACCAACCAACCAATCAACCAAAAAAGACCACATGAAAAACCCCACACTTTCATCTACATCTGAAACACATTACAGAACTGGGCAGACCTAGGGTCAGCTGTTGGCTTCCCTACCTACCCGGCATTCTTTGTCCCTCAGTTCTGTCTATAAAGCTAAAGTAAAGGAGGGCTTCTTGGGAAGAAGGTGGGGTTGGAAGAGGAGGAGGGGGAATACAGAATGAATATGATGGAAGTTTGTTGGGTAAATGGATGAAAGCATCATAATGAGGAAAAGTATTTTCCAAAGTTGTGTTGAGTATCAAATGAGATCTACATAGTTTCTGACACATAGAAGGCATGAGAGGGTTGAGCCTGGCGAACGGAAAGAAGGAAGACTTCACAGGGAAAAGAGTCAGTTTTGGCCCAACATATTGCTATGTGCCCTTGGTCAAGTTATTCAACACAGTTTTCTATTTCTTTCTCTGTGAAATGCCTTTAAAATTTCAAAGAACGAATTAGTAACACTTGAAAAGCATCTGCTTTTTGGCAAGCATTTATGAATCGAGAGTTACAGGCCTTCCAACTCTTGGAAATTGCCTCTAATTAGTACACTGAAATACTCAATTTATGAATTTAAAAATGAGTAGAGAGATTACAGTCTTCTAGAACCAAGCGCCTTGTTCCCCAGTAGATGAAGGAATCTGAAGGATGGCTCACATGTGTTCCACCAGTCCATGGCAAATGGGGCAGAGAAGCCCGGTGTTCCTGATGGAGTGGGCTTGCTTTTGCTCGCTAAATCTTGAAAAGGCCATGTTAGGTATGAGTGTAAACCTGGCTTTAAATTAGCACCTACGGTAATATTACCAGAAAAACTAAACAAGACAACTTTTTCTTTCTCCAAATTCGCTTCTAGGATGAGTTTATACATGAAATTATCCCACAGGAGCTGAAGGGAGCTGGTGATAACTGCTTCTGAGAAGAGCATCCACAGGATGTGGGCTCCTTGTCTCTCCCTCTGTTGGAACTTGGGTCTCAGGAGGTAGCCCCTCTCTGCAGGAATATACAGTTCTTCCCTCCCTTTCCCTGTAAGAACATTCCAACCTCAGCCCAGAGGGCAGGAAGAGGTTGCAGCTCTCCTTGTTGACTGTTTACTGACACCATCACCCCCGATGTGAAACACATTATTACAAACATCATTGTATTTCCAGCTTGAAGGCCTTGTACAGAATAAACTCAATAAATGTACCAAATAAGCTACAATGTAGATTCCGCTGTATCTTTAAAAGGACAAGTAACCATGTTTAATTATTGCCCAAGGTATAAAAGGAAATATTAACTTTTTGACAACTTCAAGACTTTAAGAAAAGGTGCCATTGTTATAGGTAGCAATGTGGGGATGGGACAGAGGGAAGTCGTGAGGTCTATTGTTATTATTGTTACTATTGTTTCTAGTTGTTTCTAGTTGGGTGACTCGCTACTTAGTAGTTGCTCCATTTCAGTTTTTCTCATAGCTTTCTTAAATGTATTATAAGAAAAAGTAGCCCAAGGAAGGTAAATAATTTGAAAATAGAGGTTCCAGTCATTAAAGTGTGACTGTGTTAAACCCCACACAGCACAGTTCGTTCTGGTGTTACTGAAGAATGTTCAAAATTATTACTTTGAAAGCCCTACTTTCTCCTCCCTCACTCTCCTGCTTAGCTTTGCAATGAAGTAGGAATAAAACCAAATTTCAGTCCTGCAGTCTCTAGGTCAAAGGTCAAAGCCCCCCAATGTTTCAAGGCCCCCCTGCCCTGCCCTGTGTCTTCTTTTGTGTGTAGTCTTGAGGATGGAACACATTCATCGCGGTGTCTCGTACACAGTGACTCTGCAGCTAACACCCACTTTCTTCTTCCTCCCTCTACCATGGCACACTTTACCACTCTTGAGGTTTGACTTTAATAGGCATAAAAAGAAACAAGAGTGGATTCCAGGGAGGAAGGGAGAACACAAACTACTGTACAAGTACATGTGAGAATTCTATTACTAACAATGGCGGGTGTCGGCTCCATGGAGAGCCCGCTTGCTTCCTAAGTCCAATTCCTCTCATTTCTCAAACCCTACACCAAGACTTCCAATAGAACAGGACATAACAGTCATTAGTAACAGAGCCGCTTCATAGAAAATATGCAGATTTCCAGGACACTCCTGTATTCTTACTCAACCTTTTTTCAAGACAATTTTTTTTTTCAGAGTATTTCCCTTTCAGCAGTGGATAAAACTTAGGTGCGTAAATACTTTCTAAATCCTTAACTTGTAGCCCTCACAATGGTCATTTTGTGACTAGACTTGGGTTCTATATGATTTCTGCCACACATTAACACTGTGACCCTTTAAGCCTTTATATGAGTTTACTTCCTTTCTATTCTAAGTGGGTCGATGAGCCTTTTAGCTGGAAAATTATTAACAGTTCCTTGTCTGCATCTATGTGTGTGTATCATGTGTGTGTGCTTGTGAGAATTATTAATAATAGTTCCTTGTCTGCATTTATGTATGTGTACCATGTAAGGTAAGAAGGTGTCAGATTTCCTGAAACTGGAGTTACAGATGGTTACACACCGCTATACAGGTGCTGCGAACCGAACCTGGGTCCTCTGCAAGAGCAGCCAGTGCCCTCAACCACTGAGAACGCTCCCTGGCTTCTTTTGATGATGTAGTTACACAACCATACAGCAAACTAGGCGATTCTCTCTTAAGTGGGAAATACTAACATGTACTTGTGACATGGTAGCTTCTTCTAAAGTTTGGATGTGGGGGCCCTGTCCTTGCTCGGGAGAGATACTCCCAAGATCGCTCTATTATCAGAAAGAGTTTAACGAGAGAAAAATGACCATCTTTTCACTGAAGGAATGTTTTTCTCGTATTCCTTTGGAGGGAGGGAATGGAGATGGTGATGGCATGCTGCCTTTAGGGTCTAGTAAAAACTCTCACTGTAGATAGGGACTGCAGGGAAGAAAGGGAAACACACTCTGAAAGGTGGGGAAACCGCGGGCCATTATGTTGTGCGTTGTGTCTTAGGGGAAAAACCCCCCAACAATACTGGAGGGAGGGAAGACGGAAGAAACCTCCGCCTGCCGGGGCTGGCTGATATTTTTATCCAGGTGAATCTCATTTAAGTCAACTGGAGGCAGAAGGAGAAGAGGAGCCTGCTTTGGAGGCTGTGTGTGGGATTTACATGCTGGCACTAATTGTATTTTACTGCATTGATGTCTGCTCTCCACCCCCTTCTCCCCTGGTCGTCTTGGGTTTCTGCAGCTGTGCTTATCAGGTCCCCAAACTGCCTCCTCCTGTCTCCAACTGGCCAGGGCATCATCTGGGGTTTCTGTGTCTTGGAAGCTGGGCGGGCTGGGGACCATGACTGCAAAAAGGAAGATGTGTGCACACTATCTAATAAGCTGGTAGCACGTGCTTCCTCGGATTTCCCCTGTCGCTGCCTTTAATCACCGAGACGATAAATAATCTGCTCTGAGTCCAGAACAGAGCCAAGACTAGACCCCAGGCGCAAAGACCACTCAGCCGAGCAAAGGATCAATTTCACAGCATGTAGCACTTAACACAGAAGGTACCTGTAGGTACTGGCAGGATCGCTCCTGTTGACATGCCTCGGACTTCACCATGGCCTGATCCATGTTCACCGAGGCTTTCTGGTAAACCTCTCGGGCTCTGCTCACAGTGAGGGTGGAGGACCAGGCGCTCTTCTTCAGAAGTGGGGCATCCAGAGTGACCGGCAGGTTAGCGCAGGTGGAGCACTTGACGTCATTGTTACTCCGGGAGGCCTTCACCGCCTGCTCGCTGATGGTGTTGTAGGCTTCCATGAAGTACTGCGAGGCAGAGCGGTCGGGGCACCTGCCCATGGTCATCACACCCGAGGGCGTGTGGTAGAGGCACATGTCGCCATCCAGGTTGTCATCAGAGCTCCACCAGCTGGGAGAGGTCGGGGAGGCGTTGGAGGCGTTGGATCTGGCCTTGGACTCTGAGCGCCTCTCTTTGCTCTTGCTTCGCTTGTCGTACCGCACAGTTTGCGACTCGTCCGGGCTGGCCTTGCCCCCGTTGACGCTGCCTTTGGATGGACCCTCCAGGGAATGTGACTTGGTGAAGAGCTTCTGGACCGAGTGCACCAGGTGCCGGATGCGGCCGGGGCTATCGCTGCGGTGCTCCACAGCCGTGCGCTTGTACTGCAGCGTGTGGTAGCCATCCCGGCTGAGTGGCAGCTGCCTTTCAAACTGATCCAGCAGGTTGGCGGGGATGCGGTTCGCCTTGGTGGCCAGTGTGCGTGGCACCAGGGCACTCTCGTCCTTCAGCTCCTGCTGCGAGGTGTAGTGCCTGCGTGGGAAGGTGCTGCTGGCCAGCGGGTCACTGAAGGGCCCCACACACTCTGCCTGGAAGGAGTTCCGCTGCGTGTAGTAGGGGTGGTCCGCAGGGTGGTGGTCCACGGGACTCAGCAGGTAGGGCTTGTGGTCTGAGTGGTGTGACAACGAGTCACACGCAGACTCGCAGGTGATCCCGTGGTGGTGGCTGCGGCTGCCCGATAACCCTTTCATTGCTGACCGGAAGCAATGGCAGGGGTCATGGGAACCCCGTTAAGTTCCAGACCCGTCCTGGGCAAAGACCTGAGGGATAAAGAACAAGACACGGGGTTAGTTCTAGCCTATGCACGCGCATTCTGTTTTTTTGTTTTTGTTTTTTTTTTTCCCCTCCCGTGGCTACACACCAATGCTGGGTTTCTGAGGGATCCCAGGCTGTCTTCATGCATTATCATTGGAAAGGCCTCTCTCACCTCTGTAAGGGTGGGAGGAACTATGGGGCAAGGAAACTATGAAATGGCAATCTCAACTGTTCTTTTGTTTTCTGAGACAGATTCTGGCTGCACAGCCTAGGCAGGAGCGCTCAATGCTGCCTCAGCCTGAGAGATGTGATCAGACTGTCCAATGAAATCCTTTCCAAGTTCTTTGACACAGTAACTCTTTTCCCTTATGGCCCCAGTAGCTCAATTTATCTTTCCCCTGCTTTTCTTCTTTCCTTCTTGGCACGATGTAAGAAAGGTATTTTATTGTGTTTAGGGGTGGAGTACATATGTAGGAAGGCATGTGTTGATGCCAGTTGGAAGCAGAGGTATAGCATCCTCTGAAGCTGGAGTTACAAGGGGTTGTGAGCTGTCCAGTTTCAATCCTGGGAACTGTACTAAGCAATATTCAGCCTCTGGCCCCAACGCTTTACTGTTAATCATAAATTTAGCATATCTAAAGGGCTATGTTTCTCCAAGGTACTGATGGGAGATGCCATTCTGTAAACATGTTTCTCTTATTGGTTAATGAATAAAGCACTGTTGGCCAATAGGAAGGCAAGATAGGTGGGACTAGGAGACAAGGAGGATTCTGGGAGATGTAGTGAGGAGATTCAAGCTGTAGAGACTTGAGAGAAGAGGCCTGGACCCTCTCTCCGTTAAGATAAGACCACGTGGAAACACTTAGATTAATAGAAATGGGTTAATATTTAAGACACAGCTAGCCAATAAGAAACAATAGTGACAGGCCAACAGAATTATATCTAATACAGCATCTCTGTTATTTGGGGCTGACGTGGCTGTGGGACCAGGCTGGTGGGAAAACTACTCGTAACAGGGTACCCATGGCAGAGAGATAGTTATGGCTTTTGATTTTATGGCATCTTATATCCACTCTCCAGAGCCCACAGGATTGCTTGTTTCTGTCTCTCCCAGCTAAAGTTTCTTGCAGCCAGGCTTAATGCCTCCTCACTTGTATATCTTTCCGTTATCAACAAAGAAAGTATTTTGAGTGTGGGGGGGGTTAAAAAAAAAAAGATGAACAAAGAAGTCCGTGACACATTAAATCATTAGGATATATAACGTTGTATCATTCCATTCATTATAACTTTGTTCTTAATTCTGTAGGAATAATTATAGTACCCAAATATATTAATAATGTTAATGTTAAATACAACTATGTATGCATGTATTAATAATGTTAAATACAAGCCCACATATTAATCAGCCGCAGCTAGTGAGACAAATAGACCAGATATGTGGGAAAACCTCTCCATGTATTTCTGTTCTCAGAGAGCCAAGTGTCCTACAAACAGTAAGTATGGGAGTGCACTGGCTGAGCCTCACATCATGGCTTCTGGTTGTCATGGTTTTGATCCCAAAGGGCCCGGAGACCAATGTGTGGAGGGCGTGGCTGTCAGCCTTCAGTGTTGCTGCTGGGTCATGGGTTCTTTGGTAGATGGACCCTCTGGGGCAGAAGTGAGGTAGGTCATGGGGGACACTGTGGCCCAGGCTCTTTCCAGCTCTTGCTCTTTTTAATTCCTGGCTGCTGTGGGGTAAATAGGCTTCCTCCATCACACATCTCTACCATGCTGCGCTACTCCCCCACAGGCACAAACCCACAGGACTAAGAGAGTTTGCATGCCACCTTCCCAAGACCATGGGCTCAAACAAATCCTTTCTTAGATTAAGTTGATTTTTTTTTTTTTTTTTTTTTTTTTGTTATTTTGCCACATTGAAGGAGGGCTGACGCGCTGGTTTAAGGGTTTTGGCTAAATGTTCACAACTGAAATGTTCACAACTAAATGTTCACATCCTGAAAGCAGGATCACCAGACACTGAATAACTCTTGCCTTAAGGATCTGAATGGAAGACTCTGGGTTTCACAGTCAACTTAATCTGCAGGAGACTTAAGCTCCGCAGCTCATGCCGTGGGAACACACAGTCGGTTCGTATCTGAGCTCAGGTTGTCCCCAAGCTCTGCAAACAGTCTGAAGCTCTACCAAGGAACTTTATTTTCTTTTGACTTTAGCACAGGGTGCCTGCTCTTCAGGACCTGACTAGGTCATCATGACAGTCTGCTTAAAACTTTTTTTTTTTTTCTCAAAAAGCTTCCTACAGTATAAAAAATTTTAAGCATTGTGCTAGAAATTGTTCAAAAATGTCATTTCAGATTTTCAAAAATGGAACGATAAATGGCCAGTGAACACACAGGGTAGGCTAAAATGCACACACTTGGCCTCATGAAGAAACAGACTTTTAGAGAGGTCAAAGCTCCTCACTTCCTCTATGCCCCACGAAGCTCCTCCCTCACACCCTCACCTTTTTTTCTGATTGCTGCCTAGGATTGAACCTGATGCCTCGGACATGTCAGGTAAGTAATCCCTCCCATTTCGTGGCTTAATAGTTCAAAACTACAGATGGGAAACTTTAAGTGCTGGTTTACTAAACTATGAAGGCAGAGATGCAGTTAATTCCTCCACTCTCAAGTACAGTATAATCACACAGGGGAGACTGGGGTAGCCGTTTCCCAGGCATGAAGGAAGCAGCCATTCCAGTGAGGCAGAAGATGGCAGGCGAGCTCTACTCTTGGACCTCAGATTTCCACTTCTATCTTGTCATGGACCCTGTGTAGTGAGATAGTCCTTCTGTGGCACTGACCACGCCCATTGGGGGTGGAGCCATGGGCGGAGTGACCTGTGGAAGGAGGTCGGAGGGAGAGCAGGGAAAAGCTCTCTTGCTGGCGTGACTCGGACAGGAGAGGATCGGGTTGAATTTGCTGGTGTTCATCTGTCTAGGTTGTAAGTTATTTCTCCCTGAATAAACATCTATTCGGCCTATTTGTTTATCCTGATCCTTATTTAACCGCGATAACCCTGAGTTCCACCTGCTTTGAAGTTAAAGTCTGAGAACTTTTTCTGGCCCAAAGGGTGTCTACGAAAAGTACACAAATGTGGTTTGTCTGAAGGAGAGAAAGAGGGAGAGAGGGAGAGGGGAGGGGGGGAGAGAGAGAGAGAGAGAGAGAGAGAGAGAGAGAGAGAGAGAGAGAGAGAGAGAGAAGAAGAAGAAGAAGAAGAAGAAGAAGAAGAAGAAGAAGAAGAAGGAAGTGTCCAGAGGTGTTAAATATACGTCTTTAGTAGAGCTAGGGTGCGAGCTGACTTCCGAGAAAGCTTTTCTCTATTAGCTAGGTTTTATGGAAGGTGGGTTTTTGTTTTTTGTTTCTTTTCTTTTTTTTTTTTCCAAACATGGACAGGAAAGACAGAGCTAAGGAAACAACTAGGTGGCAGAATGCTTGCTGAGCTCGAGAGACCCCTTGGGTTCAATCTCCAGTGCTGTGCTAAATATAAACAAACAAGCTAAAGAAGGGGATAGTAGGGTTGGAGGCCTGTACTCACAGAACACATTTTAGGACCACAATATTATTTCAATACCAGGTGTTCAATAATCATCTTAATATGTGAGTAACATTTTATGGAATATGATGGTACCCGAGGACAGGCACAGAAAATGAAGAGTCTTTTTCCGACCATCAGCCATGGATTATGTTACATGATGTAACTAATGGTAATTTTATGTAAATTAAACACATATAGTATGGTATCTGGTAAAGTTTGAGTGGCCTATTTTCATCACAGTGACAAGTGCCTAAACCTTCCAAGAAGCTAACAAATTTCATCAGGGCTGAACAGTAACTCACTTTCTACTGCTTGTAAAGGGACGTTGAGCCTATAGTCATTTTCCTCTATGTCAGGGGTTTCCCTGTGCGTCATGATCCTCACAGGGCTTGCACACCAGATATCCTACATATTTACATTACTATTCACAAAGGTAGTAAAACATAGTTACGAGATGGAATAATTTTGTGGACAGGAGTCACCACAACATGAGGAACTGTATTAAAGGGTCACAGCATTAAGAAGGTTGAAGAACTCTGCTCTATGTCATGGCAAATAAGGTCATAATAATGGCACCACACGATCATAAGTGTTTTAAAATGCTAACTCTCTTTTCATGGTCAAGGTCAAGAGATTTCAGCTTGGCTCTTTCTACAGAAGATCTCACACTGTCTTCTTATCCTCTTTACATTTTAAAAGGCAACTAGATCGATTTGTGGTTAGAAATCACAGCAGCACACTTGGCCGTTTCCCGTTGAGCAAGGCAGATGATGTAACATCCTCATGTTGGCGACCACAGATAGATAATTGTGGCTGACACCTACCATGGAGAGCTTGAGTTCCTCATGTTTCACACCCTCCCTTTTCTAGCACACTTCTCTCCACGACTCCTGTTTATTGCTCTCTAACTGATGTTTGTAAGCGGCATCCGTCGAGCGCCACTGTCTCCCACCTGTGGCGTGACCGAGAAAGCATTAACCGAGCATCTTTTGTGTGCAAAATCTAGGGCTTGCTGATGCAAACGTGACCAAATGCACCGAGAATCCTTAGTGGCTGAAGAGGTTATGAACTACTCAGAAAAACATGATCGAGGCATGGGGAAAAAAGCTAAGTCACGACCCTTCTCATTTAATGCAGTCAAGGAGGAGGAAGTTGCGAGTGGCTGAATTAGGTCTCAATTGGCTGTAACAATTTCTGGAAATAGAAATGGGAGATCGCCCCTTTTGCCTTTCTCTCTGAGCAAGGCTGTGGAGCGTGGTCAACATGTCTCCGTGAAGGTTTCTATGGCTACAGTGATTACATCTAATTCTTCCTTGTTCACTACGACTTGAAAATTATTTTGTTATTCTCTGGGTTCAATTTTGCCACAGGACCCGTATGTCCTGATGCTTGGCTTGGAGAATTTGTTGTTGTACTGGTGCCTGTGAA